GACACTGCTAGCCAAGTCGAGTGAAGCTGTTAATGAGAGTAGAGATGAAGGTGGCTTCTTGTTGCTTGCTACATGAAGGAAGCTTTTGGGTACCCTCTGTTTGAGTGACAGAAATACTTGTGCAGGACACAGATGGCTGCTTTCTCTTCTCAGCTGTCTTCCTATCCATTGCTTCTTTGTGCTGAGTCAGGATAATAGGAAGCCACTATCTCTTAGTTTGGGGGAAGCAGAGAAAAATCACAGACTTCTTTGATTTTATTTTTATGATAGAAACTATAAATTTGTCCCCTTCCCTGCCCATGTCTCTTAGATCCTCCAGCATAGGGCTATAAAATTATTAGGCCACACAGCTCTTCTGTGGTACATTCTTTGTGTCCAAGGAAGGAAGTTCATGGGTTGCTTCTTATCAGTTGTAAAGTATAATGCCTGGGGTCTTGATCTTAGCTGTGGTGCTTCAATGTCCTTCCCGCATGTAGGTCTGGCCTTACAACTATCCTCAGTGTTAATTTTGAGAAGTCTGCTTGTGTCATCATCTCTCTGGACTGATCTTACTGTTTCACTGGAAATATTTTTAAATCCAGCTGCCACTTTCCTGTTTTTCTTTCTACTAGAATTTGCAGCCACTTGTTATCAGGAGTAGTGGTAACTCTATTGATTTTTGTTGTTGTTGATGAAGGTCTTGAAACATTGCACTTGTGGGATGGGTTTTCGGACCTAAATCTTGTGCTGCTTCACTAGATGATGAGATGCTTGAGAGTAGAAGAGATGTTTTTCAGCTTAGCATAGCCATAACTGCCTACTACGCACTAGAGACTTTGCTTTAATTATTTTATTTGATTTCCATGGAAAGTGTACACATAAGGAATCTTATTTCAGAGAGCTTAAGTAAATTGCTCAAGTTCATCTAGCTAGTGAGTCACAGAACTTGATTTTGAATCCAGTTTGACCTTAAAGCCTCTTTTCTAAATCATTTTTCTAAACTTTCTCTTGGAGAGTTAGAAAAGCTGTACATAAGAGGAATGGGATCTTGGCCTGTACAAGATGCTTAGATGGTACTCTGAAGCAGGGGACAGCTATGGAGCTGCATTCTTAAAGAAGAGGATGGAGAGTCTGCATGTCTTCAAAGCCTGAGCTTTTTCCACTAATGTGCATTGACTTAGGTCACTGGCATGCATGGGCGCTTATTCTACCACCCTCAAGGAAGAAGTCACCCCTTTGAAAGGCTTTGGCCTGTTTGTGGGTCATTGTTTTATGTTTTTTACTCAGGTCAGAGAGACAGATTATGTGAAGAGGGCTCTCACTGATAAGGCTGTGGGTTGAGGCAATCAGGCAAACTCTGTGGAACACTTGAGTGAATCCATGGTGGAAAGACATTCTGAAAGGTTAGGACTGTGTGGAAGTCAGCCTCAGCTAGCTGAAGATCAGGAGATACTCTGGAGTCAGCCCCTATGCTTGTGGTTCAGGCCCACTGGCTTTGGCAAGAAACAGGAGTGTATAATTAAAATCAGTTACCCTCAAAATTATTAAATATTTAGCTAAACTTTTTATTTGAAATTCTTTTTAGAACTTTTGTCCTGAATACTATTCTGCCATAGAAAAGAATGAAATTTTGTCATTTGCAGCCACATGGCTGAACTTAGAGAAAATCATGTTAAGTGAAATAAGCCAGACACAGAAAGAGAAATACTGCATGTCCTCACTCGTAAGCGGGAGGTAAAAAGTAAACAAATAAATAAAAAAAGAAAGAAAGATATAACAATCACAATAATATCTTGAACTTGCAAAAAAGAACAGAACTGATATTACTGGAGGTGAGAAACGGTAATGGGTAAAAGAGGAACTGGCAGAGGGCCCCCCAAAATGATTACACTGTGTAATGTTGATTATACTAATTATCCTGATTTGAACATCAAATATTGCACACAGGTATTGATATTCAACTTCTCTGTACCCCATAGATATGTGCAATCAACTAGGGTTAGGGCTACAAAAAAACACACAACAACAACAAAAACTTTTATCCTGAATAACAAATATAACTTTTTAAATGATTCTATTTTGCAATGTTTTGTATATAAATAAGAATATGTATAACATATTATATATATATGTAACACATATATATATATAAGTGAACCATATTAAACACCTGGGAATAACTTTCCAATCTTCCTATGTAACCACTTTTCTGAATTTTGTATTTATCATGCCTTACTTTTGATAATTTTACTAAATGTGCGTGTGTATATCTGACCACATACTTAGTATTGCTTGGCTTTGAATTTTATAAAAGTGATATCATACTGTACACAACTTCTAAACTCCCTTTTATTTCTAAGATTCAACCATGTTTTGTGTGTGGTTGTGATTTATTCATTGTCACTGCTATATACTATTTCATCTTGTGAATATGCAATAATTTAAAAATTCACTCTCCTGTCTATGAATAGTTGGGTTGGTTCTACTTCTACTACAAATAATTCTTCTATAAAAAAGTTCTTGTACACACACTCACACGCACACAACTTGAAGTTTTGTTAGTTATGCTTGGAGAACACCCCCTTTTAATGTGTTTGGAAACTAAATTTAACTCCTTTTGAGAGTGGAAGTAACTGCTTCACACAAGAAAAGTCAGCTCTTTAAAAGGCTTAACTCTTTTCATAAATGTGTGCTTGTTAATGACTGGGAAATTCCTAGTACAGGAAAAAAAAAGTCCTTTTGTACAGATGAGGTCATTCTGGTCTTAACTGACCCTGTGTACTCTAGTTCTTGCTTTCTGTTCCATGTTTTGTGACCAGAGGTTATTGGAAGGATAATCCCTCTGTGGCTATTCACTGCTTTGGGGTCATGTTGCCAAAGAGAGTTATCTTAGAAACTGCCAAGCCAGTGTAAGAGGCCCAGATCCCAGGAGTCCTGAGCCAGTGACAGATAATGAGTTGGTTTAGATTGGCCATGGGTTGGGTTGTCACAGTGCACTTTTCATGTGTACTAGAACTGCTGTGTTTGCTTCATTCTCTTTACATTTCTAAACTGCCCCACTGCTTCTTGGTTCAGAAATAATCTTTCTTTCCTAGGGGCATCCCATTTTCCTGCTTTGATTCTATCCTGATAAGTAGAAGCATCTGTGCCACTTTGGGGTCTGTTCATCTCATTAACCTGGCGTAAATGAAAAACAGCTGCTGAAGGAAGTTGCTTTCTATCTTTTCCTTTGAACACTTGGAGACTGATTCCTCCTAAAATTAATTTATGAATTGGCTCGGCTAACATGAAGAATATGTCTGAGGCCTTAGCTTTGTGCTGTGAAAGCATTCTCCTACACGGCATTGTGGAGGAGATGCCTCTGATTTAATTTAAGCTCACTTTCCTCTAGCATTAACCATGTCAGGGGCTGACCAGTTAGCTCGGAAGGCTAGAGTGCAGCCTTATGACACCAAGTTCACTGCCCAATAAATAAATAAAATAACCATTTCCAACCAAGGAGGAATGTTAAAGATTTGAAGACTATTAGATAAGGAGATTGTTACAACTATCATGGATGCCTTTATAAAGAGATTAACATGGAGTGGGTTCTAGTAAAACTTGACGTAGACATCTGGGGTCTTCTTTAAATGATATATTTGTAAGACAGCCACTTTGAAGGATTAGGGATTGGAAATTGATACTTATTAACTACTTCTTAGGTATCAGCTCTGTGCTAGGCCTTTTGTGCAGATTATCTTTTTAGAGGTACTAGGTTTGTGAGGTTAATTAGAAGCAGCACACGACATTATCAAGCTACTGAGCTATCTCACATCTTGAAGGTTCTGTGCTACATTCATTATATTCTCCTAAAATTTGTCCTTGGCTTTAATGGATCAATGTTTTGATAAGCCTTTGGTTGATTGACTGCAGATTTTTATTATGTAAAAAATTTGCTCTCTTGCCATTGAGAATTTGGTTTTTCTTATCATAACTTCTTAATAAAATCTCCATTTTGGGATCTTTGTGTCCTATTCATGGCTCCATAAGTCTGAAACTCTAAGGTCAGTCTCTACTGCCTAAATAAGTCTAAGAACAATTGGTTGATCTGGGATTAAGAAACTCCGTCTTGAGCCATCATGGCAAGGAGAGGATTATAAGATTCAGTTGTAAATGAGCTGTTTAGGTATTTGCTGCAGACCTCATATTTTACCCAAAACACCTGTGGCCCCTCTAGGAGGCTCCAGGAAGAACCCTTGCTTGAAATCCTTTGGGACATTAGGGAAATCAGTCTGATTCCTGCTTGAAGGAATGACTGTGGGGCCCTGGACCACCTGCTTCTCATCCTCTATTAGTCCCCTCAGATATAGAACTAATAGAAAAAAATGAAAGATCATCTAAGTTTAAAAGTACCTCTCACTATAAAGTTTACTGTTTTAACTCAATTTACTGCTACTTGCTAGACCATGCTTGAAAACCTTGTTGAAACATTATATTTTGTAATGATGAATAAGCTAATTATCCTGATTTGATCATCACGCATTGTACACAGGCATTGATTTTCAAATTTGTACCCCACAAATATGTACAATCAATTATGTTTCAATAAAAAACAAAAAGAAAATATTAAGATGTGCCATTTAATTTCAGCTGGTCATTACCTCATGTAGATTACAAATGCTGGAAAGGAAGAATCATGACCCATGTTTCTGCAGTACACCCTTCTCACTACCCCCAAGGCCCAAGTTTATTGTGCACAGCCAATGAGTATTTTATTGAACTTAATATCTGATATAAAAGAATTGAAAAAAAATATGGCTAGCAAATACTATTATACTTGAAATTGGGAAATTCTGGGTAATGCTGAGTACCACATATTAGTTCCTGTGGGGAAAATGCATGGCAGGATGCAAAATGGGTTAATATTGTAAAGTGAAAATCTTCATAAGATAAATCAGAATCTATGTATCTGCCTACGATGCTCAGGATGGGAATGATACTGGATTTGCTGATAATGTATTATTATTATTATTATTCTGTAGCCTCAGACGATACAGCAAACTCTCAAGAGGACATTGCAGTATTATGAGCATCAAGTTATGGGGTAAGTAAAAATGGATTTTGGTCATTATTGGTGGCAAATTAAGCGTAATTACTCAGACATAGCTTGAGCATGTAGTTTTCTGCTACCCAGGTCAATCTTATTGCATAGTGGCTACTTCTCATAGTGTGAGTTGGGGACTCATGGGAGTCCCTTGGAGTAATCTTATGTTTTATTTGTGTTTAATTCTTTTAAATGAAATTCCCTTTTGTTGTTGGTATTTCTTTTCTTTTTTTTCTTGTGTTTTTAACCTCTCATTCCAACAATGAATCCCATAATCTTACCTTACTAATGTGGTAAGGTTTATTGGTACCAACTGAGAGGCTTTGTATAGGATTTTAGAATCCTTAGTAGAGTTTAGCCAAAATCATTACAAACTTAACACAGTTCAGTGAGAGGTGTAGGTTTAGCAAGAATCACATACTACATGTTTTTCTTTACTATCTTGTCTCTGTACATGTTGTGATCTGATATAAAGTAAGAAACTTGAGGTGAAAAGATAGGAATTCAAGTCCTCACCAGCACATAGAACCTTTAATAAGTAACTTTATCTCTTTTATAAAACATGGTATGATAATAATAAATTAATCAAGGATTAAATGTCATGATTAAATGAGATATTTTCAATGAAAGTAATTTATAAGCAGAAAGCTCCATATAAAAAGCAATTGGGAAATACAAAAGCCTAAGTTTACTTTCTCATGTAATCTAACTTTTTAAATTAAACTCATTGACAATAGAGGCAATGTATATTTCCAATTTAACTTGTTAGTGTTCTCTATGTGCTGCAGTGATTTTTCTTTGTGAAATTTTAAGAACTTTTGAGGAGACAATTCAGATCCTGTTAATTCTCAAAATGCTGTCAGGAATCATTTCACATTTATGGCTAATAGTCATTGTCATGAGGATCAAGAACATATTCTGGCAGGCCGAGCCTGTGGCGCACTCGGGAGAGTGTGGCGCTGGGAGCGCAGCAGCGCTCCCGCCGCGGGTTTGGATCCTATATAGGGATGACCGATGCGCTCACAGCGCTCACTGGCTGAGCGCGGTGCGGCTGGTCTCATAAAGGACAAAAACAAAAAACAAAAAAAACCCATACTTTTGGCTATTAGGGTATAGTGTGATTTTTCTTCCCACAAAACAGTAGGGAAGAAAACTTAGTGGAAAAATAATTTTAATACCTAGTACAATGCCATATATGTTTTAAGTGCTTGATGATTATGTTAATTGTCATTTCAAAGGGAATTGCTTTGAAACTTTGTCATACTAATCCTCAAGAGTGCAGTACTAGGAAAAGCATATTATTTAAACTCATGAGATGGCTTTTAGTTTGAGGCCATTAGTGATTTCAACCGGTTTATCCTAATGGAGATAAAGAATGTCAAATTAATCTTTCCCCACACATCCTAAAATAAAACTTAATCACTCTCACTGAATTTTCAACTTTCAAAGTACGGTGTTTGGATTCATTAATATACTTAGAACAGTTCCTCATATGTGACAAGTTTTCTCTCATGTTTATTTTTGTAATTATTATTAATATTTTAATGACAATACCAGTCATCAAACTCAAATCAGTTTTTAGAATTGTGAATGCTCTGTTTTGAAATCAAATAATAACTGATGAAACTTTCTCATTTATGAACTAAATTATGTCTTCAAGGCAAATTGGAGTGGGACTGTTATAATGTGATCAAAAGAGATAACCAAACTATGTTCCTGTAATCAGCAGAACGTTTTTTTATCCATTAGTAGGATGGAGTTCTCTTTTACCTAACTAGTAGTCTCAATTCGCTCTTCTTTTTTTCTGTGCAGACATGGCAGGTGGTGATTCTTTGTTCATTGCCTAAATGTTCTTTTCCTAGTTCTGCTTACTGCAGACACAGTTTAAAGAAAACAGAGAATTTGACTGCAGCATGGAAAGGCATCTTGATGTCTGACTTGATCCAAATAGACCTGTTAGCATGTTTTGGCTGACTTCCAGGACTTGAAGTACCTCCGCTCACAGCCTTTATTTGTACTTATGCTGATGAAGACAAAAAAAGCTCATTGGGAGCAATTTCGGCACCTTTACCTTTCTTTACTTGTCTTCCTTTTTCTTCCTTTTTTCCTCATCAGTGGCTCCCCTGTCCAACTCCCTGTTTTGCCTTTTAGACTCCACCTTTCTGCTTTTTTATTTCTCTTTTCATAGCGGAAAAAGGAGAGCAGCTAATATCACTAACACTTGGGCTAAAATGTATTCGCACCTGTGTTATTCCTCTTAAGAAAACACAGTTTAAGGCTTTTTATCTCTGTGAAAAGGAATGTATTTCTTACAGTTAAAAGAATTTCAGGCAATTGAGTGTAAGTGCTGACAAGCATTATCTCACATATTTTTGGGGGAGGTGAGGGTGGGAAGGAGATGCTTTTCCTGACCTCTGAAATTGGGTTTGCCTAGGGCCTGTCTTGAAGTCATTCAGCTTTCAGGTAGGTGCCTTGGATTGAGACGATGAATCAGGGCAGGTAACAGAGTATGAGCTAGCCCTTCAATTTTAATTTCTAAATTTAGCCTCCAAACACTATCCTTCCCATCCTCCTTTTCATCTCCTTTAAAATTCTGCCCTTAGGTCTACCTTATCTACCAGAGCTCCAAGATTGCACAGATCTGCTTTTTGAAATCTTGTACCTGTTGCCCACAGAAACACTCCAAGGCTTGCTTTCTTTCTTTCTTTTTTTTTTTCCTGCCTCACGAGACCAAGACTTGAATGTACAGAGCAGCTGTTCAAAGGGTCACAGATGGAAGGATTGGGAGGGAGTAGTTGATGGAGCCTCTTAATAGGGAGTAAAATAGCCTCTTTGTACCTCAGCCACTTTATCTTTAAACATTTATTCTATTCCTTAATTTATCCATTCACTCATTCACTTATTTATTCATAGAGATCATTCAAGCTGGGCAAATGAGTGCTAAAACAATTTATTCATGCAATGTGATAAATCATCTTCTTTTCATCTCCACTGTCATCATCTCTCACCAAGAGATTCTGCTCTAGTTTTCTGACTCCTACTTCTGCCCCCCAGCATCATATTTTCACCACAGCAAAGGGATTAAAAAATCTGACCATGCCACTTTCTTACTTGAAATCAATGGTTCTCAAATGGTAATGTGTATCCAAATCACCTTTCAAGCTTGTTAAAACACAGATCTGGCCTCACCACCAGAGTTTCTGATTCAGTGGGTCCAGGTGGGGCTAAAGGATGGGCATTTCTAACAAGTGCCCAGGTAATGCTGATGCTGCTGGTCCAGGAATCCCACTTTGAAACCCCTGCTTTAAAACATATAATGGCTATTATGATAGAATAAAATCTGGATTCTTCCTGTGATCTGGCCTCTGCTTACCTCTCTGAAGTCATCTTCTTCCACTACCCCTTTCTCATTCCACTCCAACCTTCTGTTGGTTTCTGAACTATACCAAGCTAACCTCAGGGCCTTTGCATATACTGTCCCATTTTCTTAGAATGCTCTGTACCTAGATATTTGCACGGCTTATTCACTCTGTACATTCAGGTCTTGATTCAAATGTCATCTCTTCAGAAAGGCCTGCCCTGAGCACCCAAACTAAAGAAGTCTTTCATCCCCTACCTCAATCTCCAACCCCAGTCATTTTGTATTATACTTCTATTATACCTCTATTATTTCTTTTCATACTGCTTATCATTAGCTGATATTTTTTTTTTTTGCTTATTTGCCTTATTTACTTCTATGTTCCTGTGCCTTCTAAGTGATTGGTACATAGGATAGACTAACATTTTTTTGTGGGGGGGAGGGTGGGGAGAGAGGGTGAATGAGTGAATAAATTGTGCCTTAGAGGCATGTACACAGATTTTCTTTTAGGAGCATAGTGGGTAAAAGAGTAAATTATGCTTGGGAAGGGGCTATAAAATGAAAGATTGAAATAATCTTCAGAGTTCAGTACAGTTCTAAAATTTATAGTTATAATATCCAGGACCCTTTTCTTTAAGGCACAAATTATACTGGTTTATTTGCATAGTTTTCCATTTATGCTTAATATTCTACCTCTGCGTATCAGGTTGACTTTGTGGTAAACTCTGCAAATTCATGCTCACTCTGAGAGCTTTATGTTTGTGTAGCACCGTCTTCTCTCAACCTAGAATGAGTGAGGGGCATCGAGTGTGCATCTTTATGTTAGTTGCTCCTTAGCTTAAGTGTCTGGGGAATGGGCTAACTTTCTTTATGGGGTGGAAAGAATAGTGAGAAGTGAAAGGGTTCACTTTAGGAATTAAAAGGAACTCAGGATTGAGTAATATCTGTCTATTAGGGCATTTTTTTTCCTGATGTCATTCTTGCTAATATCTTTTGCTTTTTCTTCTGTCTGTGTGTCTTTGTTGTGGAGATATTGTGCTTTGGAGGTAGACATCTAAGACTTACTAGGCTTAAAGTAAGGTTCTGCTATTGAATAATCTTGAGCAGGTTACTTTAAATCCCTGAGCCTCAGTTTTCTCTTTCTCTCTCTTTTTTTTGCACTAAAGATCTCACTTGGCTTTATTGTGATTCTAGAATTGGGCAACAAGTCATTCCATAAAATAGAATAAGCGTTCCCAATTTTCTCATTTTCAAAATGGGAATAACAACAGGGTTGGAGTGAAATTTAAATGAAATGGTAATATAATAATGTGTTATATAATCACATTAAGTAGTTTATGTAGTACCTGGTACACAAAGTTTGTCAACATGTTAATTGAATTATTATTACCAGTATTAGTCTGGACTCTTTGGCACTTCAATTTTTGTTGTTGGTCTTTCCCTTTATCCTCTTACTGTATCCTTCCACTGCCCTCCTTGGGCCTTTAAAAGTTTAGAATCAGGTGCTTAGCATCAGGAGCTAGACATGCCCAATTCATGTTCATCTTACAGAGAGTTTCTTTCGCTTCAGATTTTTTTTGACCTAAATTCCTGCCTCTAGAGTGCCTGACCCAACTGCTCTTACTCATGTTTATACTACATGTCTCTTACTGGTCTGTGGCTCACAAAAATGGATTACTATGGCAGTGTGGACAAAGCAGAGATTTCTTTAGCAAACTATCATGGAAAACACATGATAAAATTTCTCTGAGATATATCGCTCATTCATTATCTATTTTAAATAGTAAAGCATAAAGAGATATGTATTCAGAATAATACGCTTCATTTAATACTTTTTTGCCAGAATGAGCTTTGTTGTGTTAATATCACGGGCAGGACTTCTGCCAACCTCATATTAGCCTGGGACACCATTTCCTGTAGTCATCTAAAATTAAATTTTATTACCCTGATGATCACTGTGGGCACTATGTTTGTTTTGTGCAGCCAACCTTCTGTTCTCTTTTTCTTTTGACAATTGAAGAGAAATTAAGCCAGAATAATTTTAATAGAACATTAGAAGTGAAATTGAGAGTGGGTGAACCCTGATTATTCCGGGAAACAAACTTCAAGGATATTATTTATGCTTCTATGGTCATATTTTGTGGCTGTAAATTATTGTATCTAAAAAGTGATCTAGCTTCCTTTTTATATATTTATGTAGAATAACTATATCTTTTTGAATAAAATCAAGTTAGAAAAAAGCTTATATCTATTGATTGCTTACTATGTTTGAGGCAATATGCTGGGTACTTTACATGTGTTATTGTATTTAATCCTAATCATATATGTCATAGGTTCATTTTATTTAGCTCATTTTACAGATGAGGAAATTGAGGTTCAGAGAAAAAATTTTGTCCAATATTACTCTGATAAAAATGATGGAGCTTGATTTAAAAATAACCCTGTATTTGTCTGTGTTTAACATCTGCGCTGCTCCTCTTATTGAGTGATTTCTGCATTCTGAAAACTGTAGTAAGCATTTTGCCTAATTGGTTTATTGGAGTCTGATCTCAATGAGGTATACAAACATGAAAGTATTTTATTTTTTCTCTCCAATCACTTCAAACATGCCGGAGTGAATCCCCTTTGATACTAGCTCAGATTGCTCTGTTTTCTAGGTACTTTCGGGGATTATAAAGTCCTCTCCAGACCAATTTAGATCTTCAGTCTCCTGTCCAATCTAACTGTTATATCCCTCTGTCAGCCTGGGTCAGGGCTTGGTCTGAGGAACTTGGAATGCAGTGCAGAGGGGCCATGGTGTGGGTTTGCACTCCTCTTTTCCAGGCCACTCCTTTCTGGGTCCCTTCCTCTTCTGATGTATTGTGTCAGGCAGAAATGAAATGGAAAGCTTTTTAAAATTTACTGCTGGTGTGTAAGTCCCCTCTTGGTTGTGGTGCCCTCAGTGTGAGGTCCATGTATGGATTCTGCCCTGAGCTCAGGTGCCCAACCTCCTGCCCCTAAGGACTGCACTCTCACAGTTTTGCTGGTGGGATCTCTGCCCCTGGCTGGAAGCTTCTAGAATGGGAAAGCAGTGAGACCACCTGGCAATTCAAGCTTGCCTCTCTTTAGTGGCATCTCCCTAACCCATGGGTAACTCATTTTTATCTTGCCAAATGGTGCGCTTCTAGGTTGCTCCCGATTTTTTTGCTTTATTTCTTTTTCTTGTTAATAACTCTCTCCAGAATCTTCTTCCTCTGCTCAGTCAGACATGGGTGGTGGTGCTGTATGATCAGGAAATCCACTGCTTCAGCAGATGTTCATTGGGGAATGAAATACCCAGCCCCCAATCCCGACCAGCCATGGATTCCTTTCTCACCAACTGGGCTTCTGCAGGCAACACTCCCCCTCTCTTCTTTTCTCAGAAGGGAGGATAAAAAGTACAACAGCACTCTCTTCCTAGGCCAGCCACCCACTCTTCTGAGAAATTCCTTTTGAATTCTTTCTGTTCCTTTGCTTTTATCGGCTGGTGGTGGGATGACAGTGGCCATGCCTGTTCAGTCACCTCTTAAAGCCTGAAGGAGAGTTTGGGAACTCTTCGCTGCTCTTTTGGGATGTGAGAGCATTTGGTCCCTCTTGCCCTCAGCTTTGGTGCCTTGGCTCTCTTTCAGAAGCAGCAGGAAAAGTGCCAGCCAACATCTGATTACACAGCCATTGTGTCATTTAGTCCTCACAAGAAATCTAGCAGGTACCTGCATTTTATGAGGGAGGAAGTTAGACTGACAAAGATTAGGTTACTTGCCCAAGACCTCACAAATACAAGATGGCAAGACCATGACCCAAGTGCTACCAGACTCCAAATGCTTTATTTGTTATTTGTCATCCCCATTCCATACTGTTATCTTCTTGACTACGATAGGGGATGAGGTGTGTTTATTTTCAACATAGTGGAATTCCAGTGCACCTAATTAGTACTGTTACTTTTTCTTTTTGTAGACAACTTTCTTATAGAAACAGTTTACCAGCAGCAGTGAAACACTCTGAGGGATACATTAGCTATACAAAGCTGATATATGTATTTTTGTTTTCCTCCTCCATTTTTTTCACACGTAGCTTTCTTATTAATGACCTTCTCCAGTTCCAGGTTCAAACTGCTAATGCTGATGTGAATGGTGGGTTGGGCCAGAAGTATGACTTAAAGCTTCAGTTATTTTGAAATGTGATTACGCTGAAAGCATAGGTTGCATGTGCTTGTGTGTGTGTGTGAGTGCATTCACAGATGCTTTCAAAAAATTTCTCCATATGCTAATTTTGTTTTCTTCTTAGTTATAGGGATGCAGAAAAGAATTTCCACAACATCTCCAACAGATGCTCCTATGCAGACCATTCCAACAAAGAGGAAATTGAAGACATCTCAGGAATTCTTCAGTGTACTGCTAATATACTCGGTATATTAATTATATATTTATACGGTTGAGAGAGAATAAAAGAGGGGAAGAGGGAAAGGTAAAGGTGTAAACGTTTCAATTTTTACTCAAGAGAGATTTAGAGAATATGGCAAATTGAGACCAAGACCTTGTCTTCAAGTGGTTTAATTTCAATACTCCTGAAGATGTTTGAGTGGCAATTACATGCATGCCATTTACTTGGAGACTGAAAAACATTTTAACAAAAATACTTACATTCCAGGGAAATGTTTGCAAATATTTATATGCTGGTAGTATTAGCCTTGTGTAATTCATATTTCTATGGCCCTATGTAGGATCTTTCCTTCCTCTCAAAGACATACTCTGCTATTTCTGGGAAGCCCTGCTTAGGGCTGGAGGGTGGCTCACATGTGCTTATAATGGACTCTACATATCAGATGTCCCTTCCGCAGCTGTATCAGTGAAGCCCATCATCTACTGAGGTCTCTGTGCCCTGCTTCGGGCTGGGGTAGTTTCCATATTGAAGATACTAGTATTTATGACAGAGGAGCTGTTTTTTGATGCTCCCAACGTGGCTACCAAGTACTGTTGTAAACTGCACCCAACCATGCAGCCTTAAGGTACCATAACTGAGCCATTCTATCTACTATCATACTATCCGAAGTTCCGGGTGTGTGAGAGCTACATTGTACTCCACGCACAGTAGATACCGTAGCAGGAATATTTTTAGCCCTAATGTCTTACAGAAGTTTTTAGTGAAAAATGCCTCTTTCAGTTCTTTTTGGAATCCTCCTTTTTCCTATGGCTCAGATAGGAATCCTTGGGGTGCTGGGAACAATAAATCTCAGTGACTGACTCCATGCGAAACACAAAATCACCCGTCCTTCAGAATCAGGGGATGGAGACTGAGGCAAACTTGTTTCCATGTCTTTCTTTTCCTTTAGGATAAGTACTTTCCCTGGAGACACCTGAGTTCCTTCTATAAACAGATTCCAGGTGATCTCAACCCATGAGTCTACCAGATTTTTCTAAGCCTGTCTGACTCCCAGAGGCAGACCTCTTTTACACTTAAGCTGAGAACCAAACTGCCAATTGTCCATACTTCATCCTAGGTATCTTTCATAAACACAAAATATTGTGATAGGAGGCCTTTTCTTTGGGGAGGCATACAGATGTAGTGGTTGGTCTAGAATAGCTTGCAAGACAGTTATGCGCAGTGAAAAGGAAAACCAAAGATTCACTTACCTCAATCTTAATCCAACAGCAGGGATGTCATACTACCCACATAAACCTTATTATTGGAGAAGATGAGGGATAAGAATAAAGAGGGGTACGATTGGGCATTACCCAAGAGCTGTTTAATGTTTTCTGGTTTTGTATTTTCAAAGACTCTCCTAACTGTAACATTCATTTCTCTTGACTTATCGTGATTTTCAGGTGGTGGGCTGAGATAATGCCTGTCTAAGAGGGATGTCTCAGAATCTTGGTGGAGAGATGTTTAATATTTTGAAAAGTTGCTCCATACTTATCCAGTTTCTAAATGTTTCCCTGCTCCTCACATCTGCTTTCCTTATGCTCTCCACCTTGAGAATCACTGAGTTAGAGGGAGTAAGCACTGTTCAAAGACAATGAATATATAGGGATTGCTAAAGGTATTTGAGCTGTGAGTTGTAAATGAGTGTGCGGAATTCCCACAGAGAAAAAACCCTGGGTCAGACAATTTGACATGGTAACCGCGAGGGAGCGCTGCTAGCCCAGCACAGCTTAGTTGCCCCTCAAAAGTTGCCATGACATGCAGCATAAGCAGTGAGTGAAAAGAGCATCATGCAGTGTGCCAGCTGCTGACATTAGGGAAAGGTTAGTTTTAGGTGCTTATTATTTAAAAGTTGCCTATATAACAGCGTTTAGATTTCCCTAAATATTATCTTTTTCTAGAAAAGAGATATTAGGTCTGATTTTTCTCTCCCCCTGAGTAATGATGGGATGTTCTCAAGATTTAAAACACAATCATGTAAAATTTAAATTTCTGAAGAATAAAACTAAATACCTGCCACCTGCTGTTGGCACAGATCCAACAGATTATGTGCCTAAGAGGTAGCTGTTCTCTTTTGAATAATGTTCTTTTGTAACTCTTGAAATATAGATTCTCTGAGGACAATAATATCAGCTTTACTGGTTATTCTCAGTGAAAACTTTGTTTTTAACAAGTCACTAAACTATGATTAATCTTGGCTTCCTTAGATTTTATCTTTTTTTAAAAAAAATACAGTTAAAATCTCTTGTGCAATAACTTATGAGAGTGAAAGAATTGGTTAACTCACTGACCAGAAAAACAGCATACAGGAAAAGGAGGTTTCTGGGGAGTGATTGTATGTGGCACAGAACTTTCTTTGTGGGATGCCAGGGGTCAATTTTCCAACTCTATGATTTATATTTATCACCTTTGGGGAGTGTGGTTAGAATATTGGTGAACTGAAATTGGCAAATACAAATTTCTTTTACCTCTTAACCTGTTACAGGGTTGTGGTAGAGACCAGGAATGTGTTTGTTTATTCATTCATTTGCATGTCATTTATACTTTACCATCAAAAAAGACTTGAAGTCATAGGTCAGAAAATATGATCACAGTAGCAAATTTTTCTCCTCCCCAAATCACCATCTCTATTTACTTAGTATACATTACTCTGGATAGTTTGTTTCCTGGCTCTTAATGCTGAAGTTTGAATTTAGGAGGTAGCATAGGATAAAAAAGGGGACCTGAAGAAAGGGAGAAAGTGAGCTGAGGAAGACCAGCTATGCCTCTGTCATACATTCTTTCTCTCACCTCATCTGTAGGACTCCCTGGGAACACATGCTCACTACAGAGTCCTTGGTTCATGCCCCTCCAGTAATTCCAAAGAGCGGTTTCCAGATATCAAAATTTTTGCCATCTATTTCTCTTTTGTGGCATAGATACTGGTTGTTTCTATTTAGTGTCGTCATTTACAAATTAGGGATATTGAGTCAGTCTGCTTTTTGCCATCTATTCATCTCATTTTGGTGCTCTGGTAATCGCTGTGCCAATTCAGTACAATTCTCTAAAGAGGCCCTTGACACTCTGGGAAAAGGCTATGCAATGAAAGATGGTTGTGAACAACGCCCTCCCTGCTGGAGGCTTGTAGTGTTAAATTTACTGCTTTATTTGGTACATAATGTCTTTTGCATACCAACATGATCTAATTTTAGTTGTCTGAAAAATGTAAACCTTTTCTAGCCATCATCTGCAAAACCTATTTTTAGCTCAAATTAAGTATTAAAAAATGTGTTCATACTCTTATAAGGCATGGCATTTAGTATTTTTTTGGAAATTGTTATGGTTGAATGGTATTGTGAAGCACGTTCTATCCCAGGTTTGCTGCTGAAACGTTGTCACTTGATCTTGCCGCTTGGGTTTAGGTAGTGTTGTGGGAGGCAGACGAATGAGTAGAGAGAGGTAAGGGAGAAGGATGATAAATTGTATAGTCTCCTTTGCTGTAAGAAGTTAAATATAAACGAGGTTTCATTATTTCAGTTTTAACAAATGTTAATACAATTAAGGGGGTTGTGGGTGTTTCAATCATTGTAGAGCTACAAGATGGGGGATGGTGTAGGAAAGAGACTTCCCACAGTAGGTCAAAGATCAAATAGAAATGAGGGCTCTAGGTTAATTCATTTACTGATAAATTGTAGCAAACGAACGTTCACTGTTTTAGTAAGCATCAGTTACTTGCCAAGTACTGCACAAAATAATTTTATACTGCCCTTGCTAAATGCATTTTCTCTCAAAATAGTCAGGAAGGACATAGTGGTGAAAGGATGTTTATTAATGTTTTCTCTGTTAAAAAGGTCTTTGTTAGTGGTGTTTTATTGTCTCTAAAACATAACACATTTAAAGTGAGAATGCGAGTACTGTTATCATGGGATTATTTTGTCGGGAAAGTGCTAGTGAGGAAGTTGGAGGAGAGGACCTTTGGGTTTTATTCCTCACAATATATTCTTCATATCAGGGATTCTGAAATACTGTGAAATCAGACCCCTTCATAATGTGCCACAGATTCCAAAATTTCTAGCTGGTATGGAGCTGTTTGTTGTTGCCATTTGTTTTTTGTAAGTAATGATTTATTGCTTACATGTCAACCTGTATGTACTTTTTTGTTTCATTGTGACTTGGAGTGTGCCTTTAGGAACCTTTTAATTGGTAATAAAACTGTGAAGAATTAGTTAGCCCTATTTAGGGTTAAGACTACCTTGGGAGTTCCCTTGGGATCACTGTAAATCATACAATTGTTTCATTTATTAGAATATGTTTAACGTTTTCAGCATTTTGGAGAGCTAGTTAGTGGAATAACCACTTACCATTTTTACCGATGAATTAAGATTGGTAGCACTAAGCAAATTCTGCCTTTACAGTTCAAGTTATATATAGCTTGTAAGTGATCTGTTTTCTCTTTCAGTAAAAGTAAATACTTTCAGTGTTTTAATAAGATGAAGTCGAGTTAAGATGGTTGGGGGGGGGAAAACTCAATAATGTTATTATAATGCAGTGATTTAGAGTGAAGACTAGAGCCAGACTATCTGGGTTGAAAATGCAGCTCAGCTACTTAGTAGCTGCATGGAGCGGAGTGATTTACTTCATCTTTCTGTATCTCATAGTTCTCACTTGTAAAATAGGATAGTATAATTACATACCTCCAAGAGTTGCTAGAAAGATTGCACAAGTTAATTTATATAAAGTACTTAGAACAGCCTGCTATATAACAAACAAATGCCACATAAATGTTGGCCTTTATTATTATTGAATATTCACAAAATAATGTTTGCATCAGACCTCTCAGCTCAATCTTGCTCCCTTTTTTTAGGTGAGGAAACTGTTACTTTGCAAGGATAACTTGTTAATGTCTTCAGTCTGAGTTAATCAGCCACAGAGGCAGGATTTAAATCCAGTTCAGTCTGGTTCCAAATCCCATGTACTTTCCACTCCTTCAGGCTCCCTTCCAGGGCTG